TGAGTAAATGAGTCTGTAATCAAGAAACACAGCGGTAATTTGGAACTCCAAAAGGGTCTATTGCGGGTCCTCTACGAACAACTGCTTGCTTACCCTGTTGAGGAGTCCTAGGCGTCACCTTACATGATCGAGTATTGTAGTTGATGCAGACTTGATTGACTTTTGTCTTCATGAGACTGACGATCACAGGTACTAGCTTGGTTATAGCTCGTTGGCACTGAAACAAATCATGGTATATAACTGAGTCATGATCAATACATTTATTGGCTCATTACTGAGCAAAGTTATGTACGACTATATCGAAAACAGCTGTCCACGATTTCTAGTTGAGCTGGCTCATTTTTTACGCGACTTGAAGTTGTGAAAGGCTTGTATGGCACTCTTTTTCAGTCTTTTCATATGAGGCTCGTAATTTACCTATTACGGATGTTCTTATATATCAAAAATGGTTGGCACTAGCCAAAGGCGAAAGGCGCCGAAGAGATAGAAGATAGGTCATTCCAAGATCCAAGAATAGCTGGGAAGATTTTTGCTTAATTCTTCTTCCTATTCTTGTCGAGAACACGAAGGTTACGGTTGACATATTTACAGTTGTTTTAAAACCATTTTCGTGTTTAGTTTTATGCCCATAATTGCTTTCCGTCTTGGAATGACCCATGGCTTCTTGCAGCCTACTGTGAACTATGTTTCTAACACATGCTGCTATTGGTGCTGTGGTGTCAGTAACAATAAAAACATTCATTTGATAAYTTTGTTTGACATTAATGTACCTCTTTCTTATCAGATGCTGACTTCCCGTTGCACACCTTCTGCAGTGAAACATCCATTCTCTGACAACAATTAAAATAAACAATAAGCAATAAGAATTATTTTGCAGTGGTAATACCTTTATTAAGCGGATACCCTTCATTAAACGGACAACGCAACAGCTACTTGCGTGGATCCGAAGTTTTCTCTCTATATTTGGTGTAAAACAAACCTCTCTAATAAGCGGATACCAGCCAATTTCCCCATAATAGTTGAACCACTGTATATTGTTTGCAGATGATTAAAGCAAAACAACCATGCCATGATCTTTTTGGAAGCGCGCGGGAATTGACCTGACCGTCATACAACCTGACCCATATCGTATAATGAAAACGTACTTTAATTGCTAGAAAAATAAACGGCGCGCGCGATCAAGTCTTCAATTTCCAATAGAAGAAGCAATTGGCAGTTGGATTCAAAAGATCCTCGCACATTAGTGTTCCTGGTATAGACGCGCGTGCACAAGACCCAGTCTGTATGTGGGCCACGCTCAACTATAAACAAACAATCAAACTGTATATAGCCAACCTTTGTTCTATTGGGGATTCTTTCCAGGTCCCTCTTGATTGCTCTACACATCAAACATTTCTGAGAGTCTGTGAGTTTAACACCATCAAAGGGCTGGTTGTGGATTCTTGGGTTTGCATGTGTGATGAAGAGTGCAGGGATCATTCGTTGGTCGTCGCGAGCTTCACACATACCGATTTTGGCGCAGACTTTCTCTGGATCAGCCTGCAAGAGTCRTCAACAGGCAGTAATATTTGTTCATTTAAGTGAGGTTTGGTGAAGTAAGTTGGAAACAAACATGATAAGTATATAAAGTATATGCCGGCACATAGCTAGACCTTAAACAGGCTTACCAAGATGTTCTTCAAATTTTTGATGATGTCAGGTTCGTGTTTGGTGACTATGTCCTTGCACTGGCCTGCAAATGGCCCAAGACCTGCATTGTCGCACACGTCTTTCAGAAAGTCAAGAAATTGTTCCTTGAAAAAAGTCAAATATAGGAAAAAATTATGMGTTCCAGAATCAAGTTAGGGTCCATTCAAAAGACTTTGTTCATAAAAAACTCTATAAGTAACACTGATGCCTGGGGTACATAGCATTGTGAGAACGGGTTGGAGTCAATAACACTGAAAGAGCTTCGCTATCTTGCGTCAAACTTAGTCCCACTCGGACGTTACCGATCCTTCTTGGCCTGGGTGAATATGTGACACTATATCAGACTCTGAGATGAAATGCGTGCGCGTAATATGGGTGYACATATAAAGTGAACGACTGTTTTAATGTCTGTTTCCTATCTTTACCCTACCTGTACCGCGGAGTCATTCAAGATATTCTCCGCTCTCTTRATGGCGAGTTCGCACAGCGTACAAGGGTCTATCTGTATGACAAAAAGATGGAGAAAAAAAAACTTGTTGGATTCTTCATTAGTTCCATTCTTATTACCATTGGTTATGCAATCCATTTCAGATATTGTATTATGACTTCATCCAACTTCAGATACCGCTATTCCTATACGTTCACCCAATTCTCTAAAATCTTTAGTTCAGCACAAAATCTCCCTCAAATTATTGTTTTTTTATTACAGTTCTTTGGTTGACAGTAATTAAAATACTAGTTGGCAAACACAACATTGATCTTCTTAAGTCACACTTCAACGATAATGGTAGTAATGGTAGATAATGGTAGTAAATGCATTGTATACTTACATCGGTTCTTTTCGACTTCCATACGTTTTCTCGACAGTGTTGCACAGCATCGCATTCGACAGCCTTCCCATAATCCTTGCACCAGTAGCTCGGTCCCCATGTACAGCGGTTGCTACCAAGCATTTTTACCCCATTTGCGCAGACTACAAAACCGAAACAAACCAACATGACACAATGTAACATTTTAATTAGTTGGGTTTAATTAAAATATCGGAAAAGATATGAGCGTTTAAGCCCAAGTCTGATAGTTACTTCCGTACATGCACACTGCGCATGAGCGGGACTGACACCTGATTTGGATTCCGTAACGGTATGAACCAATCAGAATGCGATGAAAAAACTAAGCTTAGATCAACCAATGATGTTGCTTGAATACGAAACGAGATCACGATATGTGCATGTTCCCCACGCAAGTTAAATATATCAAGGTATCGTAAACAACCACGACATAAAAGGCCACCAAATATGAAAACAATCATGCTAACCATTAAGATCAAAATTTGCCATTCACTACAGTCGAAAGTACATGGTGTAGATACTGTAAGTGTTAAAAAACGCGTTTTTGCTTTCGTGGAAACAAAATTTGACCACAAACTTCATTATATACCCTGAATATTTTACATGAAAAATATAAAAATGGTAATTATATAAAATTATTTAAAGACAATGGTTTTCAGAAATATAACTATGGAAAGCTAAAAATGCCTGAAAGCCAGATTACCGATTTATAGTTAAATTATTATTAAARWGTTTTTAAAATATAGTTTTTTATCGCTGAATTTCTTAGTCAAATGTTATAGTTAAATTACTTGAGCTTAATCAAAGCAAAACTAATGATTAAAAAAAATCTTTAGGCGAAAATTAAGCGCATTTTGAAGTGGACGAAAAACCGGGGCRAAAAAAGAATGAGAATGTGGAATTATTGATGGTTGAATTGTAATAAGAAGCACTAATYGACTTACCTCCAAAACTGATAAAGAAGAGGAATAAAACCTTGACTGCCATTATCACTACAGCTTTGTGTTACCAGTCAACTATTTCTGCGATGTTTCTTCGTTCAATGGTAAAAGGAAAATGACTTCCAGCACTTTGTTAAGGGGGATATTAAGGGATTTTTTTGCCTGTCATACAGTACGGCGCATGCTCAGTATCCCTTTGTTCAGTTATGTTGTAGGCTTATATTCCCGAGAGCTGGTCGGATTGCCATAACGAATTCCGGAAATTAATGGATGAATAAAGAGCATGCTCAAGACAGACTGCATTTAATCGCAGCCGTATTGATTTCTACTGTTGTTGTTGTACTTTAATATGGAACATATGCATCCCACATCGAAAGAAGTGAGTATGCGTTCAAAGCMATCAGCATCACATTCAAATTTTTGAGTATGCTGTTCATAGCAAGGGGTTAATCATCTACGGTCTAGGGGCCGACTAACCTCTCYCTTAGGCTTCGGCCGAGCTTCCTGATCAGTCTGTAATTCTCCGGATAGCGGTGTCGGGGTCGAAATCTCCGGCGTAGCCGTAAATGCTTCGCGCTGCCATACGACGGTTCAGCACTCGATGTCTGGAAGTATGGTCCTGGTTAAATAAATCCAAAAGTAAAAATCCTATGATCATTTTTCAACAGCAGTGAACTCGGGAAAGGATCAAATTTACTATGATGCACTTTCCGTTTAGYTTTACTAAACGCGTCCCACGGGGAAAGGAKTATGCGTTCGAATCCATCGGCGTAATAAGAGTAAAAACCGCGCATGCTCAGTGCTATCCAGGAAGAACTCTTCAATTTTCAATAGAAGAAATTGGCAGTTGGATTCAAAAGCTCTTCGTTAATAAAGAAAATGAACGAGGGTTGGTTCTGGAAATGAAGAAGTCTAGCTTCTTGGCAAGCMAATCAAAACTCCGGAGAAATGTGGAAAATGCAATTCTCTTGCTCCCATGCATAATAAGCTATGATGATAATACACTATTTTGCTTCTGCAATTTATTCTCGTTCCAGTTTATTATGTGGAAAAAGTGTTATGACATGGCAAAATTTTGTATTATTAGTTCTAACAAATTTCTGATATTTTGCCCCCYGAGTAAATTGGAAACTAGAGATTTGCATAACCAAAGTATCGTATTGTCATTCAAGGACAAATTGGAAAAGAAAAATCTCTTTTTATATATATATATTCGAAGAAGTGTATAAGGAGCCTTGTTTGGCTGTGTTGAAATCATAAACGACAATACTTTGGAGGTGATTTGATTTATTCTTTAACACTAATTCTGATTTTCATTTTTATTTCATATTCTCTTTAATCTATTTCAGTTTTACTTGCTTTCGTGAAGCCTCTTAYGGATTGATATATATTATTGATAAAATAATTATTGGGAAAATCAAACTTTGAAGCTTAATATYTGAAACTAAGGTAGACAAGTGCTTGTGAGTTGGTTCAAAATTCAATAGGTTTACGCAGCACAATAACCCCAGGCTTTAAGCATCAGGTAAAGATGTCTCCTTCACTAGGAGTTTGTAATCTTCACCGTCATTATGCTTGTAATTATTGCCCTCGATAACTTGTTAAATTATTGCCAAAAACAAGCAACATGTACGACCTTTTTGTGTTGGATTCCTTACACTATTAGCCTCTCCAAGRTTAGGACTGGGTCAATTGGCATTGCAGTGAATTTTGGAGCTGTATGAGGACTCAATAGATGGCWTCTTGGAAATGTGTCCCAAAAAAACGAACCCAGAATTCATTGTAATGTGCACTTGAGCCAGATTTTYCCTCAACCCATTGGAAAGACTAATAGCGTAAGGAATCCAACAGCTGATCAATGAGAGTTACATCTTGGACGGAGCATTAACCAATCTAATAGCTTTTCTGACATCCTCAAGATCAACATGGTCACCAAACTCCTTTTCTCTGTGCTGTAGGAGAATTCCCTGATCTCCRGCTCCCATCACAAAAACTCCTCCCAAAATCCTTCCTTCTCCTTTCAAATTACCCTCAACACCTTTGCCCTTGGCTCTGAAAAAGGAACGCCACACACTAACCCGCAGGAATCCTACAATAAACAATACAAGGAGGAATAAATTGGTAATGATTGTGTGCGTGAGTGTGGGAGGGGGGGTTTGGGGGAAAGGGAGTAGAAAGAGGCAACAAAATAATAATAATAATAATAATTATAGTAATAATTATTAAATATTTCTATGCATAAATATTAAATTTTGGGCCTTTTAAAGAGGGCATGTCACATCCCAGTGCATGATTGGAGAGAATTTAGCAGCATGTTGGTGGGAGAGAGGATGTTTGAAAGCTAGAAAAAAGGAGGGGTGCTCATTTTTCAAAACTGCTAAAAAGGGGGGTCTCCACCTTTCTGAAGAGTAGGTGCCACACCCACATTGATTCAAATCATAAAATAAAAATATGATCTCATGAGGMATGGGAAAAAGAATTGCAATGGCTTTTCAAATTACATGTAAAAAAAGGAATAAGACCAATAATCCAGGATTTGAATCAATTAGTATAGGAAATCGCTTAAAGAACTTTAAAACATTACAAGACAAGATTAGTGTCTATTAATTCCAAATTGCACGAGAAGATCGTGCAATTTTTTTTTATAGTTCACTCAACAAAATTTCAGTAAAAAATGCGAAGTGACGCCGTTCATCTTTGTCTATTTGGCGGCCGATTTTCAGTCCATCGTGCAACTGAAATGCTTAAAAAAAATTGGTTCTTATGGCTTTAAAATTTTATTTATATGTTTCTAAGTACAAAACGATAGAAAATAATTGTTTTGACATTGTTTTGGCCGTGTTGCCATAGCGACTTAATTCGGTACTCCTACGGAGTAAGTAGTATAGGGGATGGGGGTTCCAGCGCAACGACCACCGGAGGATTACCCGTCTAAAGTGAATTCCTCGATTCGTACCGCGATTACCCGCATCCCGTGTTTATGTAAAATATGTTAGTCTATATATGGAGTGCGAAGAATGTAAGAGAACTTTTAAGAAAGAAGTGGACTTGAAGAAGCATTTGAAGATGNTATAAAACTTGTTATAAAATACATTGCCTTACCACTAACAAACATGTATCTTTCCTGAGGTCCATAGAACTTTCTCTATAAATCATTAAGAACAACATATCACTATCATGATAATGCCTAATGATGAAACCAAGTTGTACAAATGTCCTGCCAAGATTTTGACCTGTCTGGACAATTAAAATGCATCTTATGCCAGTCCTCTTGWCTGGTCACATTGACTGGTAACATGTTGATCAGTCTAATGTAGTTGGTGATCATTTACAGCTTTGAGCAGCTGTTCTTTCAGAGCTCCATGATAAAAAATAGAACTGTAGTTTTATCTACTTATTTTATTTTCCTAAAAAAATATTATTGAAAGAATACCTTGGAATCCAAGTAAATCTCTCCCTTGAAAAAAGGCTGAAATTCTTTGACTCCTAGCTTTTCATGAACTATACCAACAAGGGGAATTCCAAGTCGATCAAGTTCAGGCTTCAGAGAGGATAGCCCTTGAGCCTCCTGAAAATGAATTAAAGCAATACTTAGTAAGGGGTCAAGGTCAAAACAATGATCCAAAATTGGTAACCCATTTTATTGATTTAGGTGTTGGGAACTGACAATTATCCTTTCACCCCTTGGAGACTACTTCCAGGGGCGGATCTAGAATTTTGTTCAGGGAGGGGTGCTGCACACAAAGTTAACCCAGGGAGGGGTGCACCACTTAGAATCAAAGGGAAAAACATTATTTTGTATTGGTTATCTTCAAAATAGGAGCACAAAGTTGAACCATGGAGCGGTGCGAACCCCCTACACCCCTCCCCTGTATCTGCCCCTGATTTCTATTGTTATTTAGCACACATGGAAACCAACAAATAAAAAAAATGAGTTAATAGGATTTAACAGTGGGATTTCCAGTGGTTTTTCATCAACTTAATTTTAATTGGAATTTAGAAGCTGATTTTTGCAAAGGGAGGAAAGCTGGAGAACCCGAAAAAAAACAAAAAAACTCTAAAAGCACAGGAGAGAACCAACAAAAGCACCTCATTTACTCTACTCATTTATGGCACTGAGCTCCACAGGATTTGAAACTGGGTCGCATTGGTGAGGCGCGCACTCTCACCGCTACTACACCTGTGCTCCCATGAAACAAGCGTGTTCAGCACATTCATTTTTTGCTGTTTGAATTGCTGATTGCAATATATTGTACATGCCTCTCTGCACAAAGATCATCCTGGCCTTCTAATAACCATAATTACAGCACCATTCTTTCTCCACAGATCTGCAGCATCTACAATTCTGTCTGAGCCATCAAGAGTTTCTACTTTTATATCTTTAATGTAGGGATAGTCTGCTTGGGGGATATTTTTGAACCAGTCCATATTTGCCCATAAAAGGCCAGCGGCCGCAGCTACCCCTCCAGCAAGCAGCCATGCCATCACTTTTTTAGTTCTTCTAAGTGCCACCTGGTGATAGAGTAAAATAAATAAATAAATAAAATTAATGACTGATCTTTATTTCATGTCATGATGTAGGGAGTACTAACTTGCAGGGTCTCCCTTAGCCAGAGGCCAATGTTAAGTGTAGGACACACTACTGCACACACTGTCCCTACATTTAATGCTCTAAGCACACAATAACTTTGATTTTTATAGAGAAGCTGGAGAAATTGTGACAAGGGAAAAAACAACACATCAAACAAACTCTATTCATATGTGGTGTATACATGCAGGAAGGCAAGGGAGATCAACACAGCAAACAAACTCTATTCATATGTGGTGTCTACAGGAATCAAATTAAACCCTTTTGTTTGGCACATACTTTCTCCTTTCTGTGTTTAAAAGGTTAAATAATATCTAAACTAACAGCAGTTCTCAGTCTAAAGTTACTATGTAGGTGATCAATATATAAAAGTAATGAAGGAGATACCTTGAAGTTATCTAAATGATTCTTGAGTGTGTATATACTATACTGAATATAGGTTGAGTCATGGGCAATATAAAGTACACGTGTAAATCATTCATAAGCTTTTAACTTGTATCAATTAAGAYTTATAACAATTGCATATTGAATATATAACCATGTGAATAAAGTCGACCTAGGTAAACGAGAGTTAAACAAACAGAAAAGAAACTTTGCGTCTCCCAATATTTCTTTTTAGACAATTCTTTTGCAGTATACGATCCAAGTCAGGTGATCTTGTTGGGCTAACTTTCACCTTCACTCACGCGAGATCAATCAAATAAAACCAATATAAAAACCTACTTTTCAATATAAAAAATAATAGTTATCTATACCTCACTTTCTTTAGTTCCTAAGCGTCATCAAACCCCGCCAAATTCCAAATAACCCGAACTGAAATTATTTCTAATATTTTCTAATTTTTTCTCTGCTCAAAGTCCTTACTTCAGATACCGTAGATTCCTGGATCTCACATTAACCAATCAGAATCGCGCTTCTATTATCTTATTGTTATTTTAACCAATCAGCGCGTTGGTTATCACGGTGCATTGTGGGTAGATTTTCTATACCTTGCAGAAGCGCGTGATTTTGAACAACAAGATGTCCGCAAACTTCAACTCTAATTCTATTTTTACTATGGCTTTTATCTGGCATTTTTTACAATTACAACACGCTTTTCTCGAACCTATGTAATTATAATACATCTTGCAGGTAAGGTGTGTGACTTTTGTTCATGTTTTTTGTTTAGAAACGCCGCTTTAAGGCGAGATTTCTGAGGTCTTTTTTCGGTGAAAGAAAATTTACTTCGTCTTGATTAACATAAGTTTATTAGTTTTCTTTGGGCATATGTTTTGTTTACTCGATTAAACTCTGAGGTAGAGACAAATCTAGTTTGTGTATTCCATAATTCATTGACATTAAAGTAAGGATTTGTGATGTGGTAACTCTTGCTGGAGATAAGATATATTTTACGCTGTGTTGGTTTGTGTTTACAGCTATCTTCGTCTCACTTAATGCTTGGCTTTGTACACTTCTTTCCCTTTCAAATGATGTCTTCTTTAACCGTCTACTTAATATCCTTCCGTTACCACTCTCTGACAGTTCTCCTTTCATTTCAAATCTTTGTTTTCTAGTATCAACAAAATCTAAAGATTCTATAAACTTTTTGTTGACTTGAGTTGAATGAGCTTCGCTCAAATCCTGTAAATATTTTGAGATTTAGATCTTGAAATTCCTGATCTCTCTGCTAAAAACAGTTCATATGATTATTGACTACCTAATTATTATTTTAGACCAATACTTCAATCTTCCATGGTATTCAAGTTGATCTTGCTATTAACTTAGGAGTTTAAATTGAGAGTGTTCAGAGCAGAACTTCTTTTAATCCAGTGGCTATCAGATTTATAGCTTTTGCTGGGATCAAACTCTTTTCAGCTTTTTTATGTTTGTATATTAAATTAAGGTTTTACAACAACGATTCGATTAAGTTTTAACAGAAAGGTCAATTTCAGTAATATATAACATACCAAACACCAAATATATCTTAGAATAATAATTTGATAGAAATATAATGGGAATAATAAAATCTGTGTGGAAACAGGGAACTCACAAAAATATAGGTCCTTGATATTAAAAATATCTATATTAATTATTATTTTTAAATAATAATTGTAATTTGACTTAATCCTTGTATTTTTAATATTGTCATATAATAGTTAATATGTTTTTATATCATTTTTATTAATACTTTAATTGCTGTTAATACATTTTATGAACTGTTAATATTCACTACTTCTTAAATTTGTATTCAACTCCAACAAAAGCTTGGATTAATTCTCTTTTTCTAGATTCATAATTCTATAGATATCAAAAGAATTTTTTTGCATGTTTTGTAGTATTTTGATGTCATCTAAGATCATTTTGCTTCCCTCTTCAAATCAAATAATTTGTTCTTTTCTTTCATCGCTAAAGTGAAAGGCTGAATTTCACGTTTTCTGGGATTCCTGTGTTTGCCCAACCACAGGTGGCCCATGCAGCATGAAATACACATATGATAAAGAATAATCTTAAAACAGTTTCTTTTTTATGTTCACAGGCAAAGATAGTTTTTATGGAGAAAATAATTACAGTAAAGCAAGAACCAGTAGATGATAATGTTATACTCCAGTCATTTACTATACCTTCAACAAACACAGACAATACACAGTTACTGGTAACGACCAATCAGGAGACAGCGCGAGATAAGGGTGGTGATGTGAAGGGTGAAAATGTTTCTAGTACTGGGAGTGTTGCTATTACTACCAATCAAGGTAAGGTTTCTATTTCATCCTAAACTATAAATCAATAGGATAAAAAATAATTTGTCATAATATGGGCAAATCTTGCAGAGTCTTCCTAGGCAAAGGCTTATGTTTTAAGGTATCAGACACTCACTACTACCACTTTRTTTTGTCACTTAAAAAAAAGATATTTTATCTTTTGAATATGAAAAAAGATGTGCCATCCAACTTGTCGTTGTACTGATTGATGACTACCTGAATCACAAGTATGAACAATATACCATGTTTCCATGACCATGATGTTATATTTAATCAATTTATAGTTCCTGGGGTGCCAAAAACAACAGCAGTGCCAATACCAATAGTATCTACTATGAATCAGCCTATATCTCCTATGGTTGTCATATCAGGGAGTCCTGTCAAGTTGACACAAATAAGACCTAGCAGATCAGTAGTCTCAGGCTCTACTGGGCAGCTAAGTGGTGTACAGTTACAAGGACAGGGGATTAAGGGGAATGTCAGGTTTTTTCAAGTACAGAATGTCAACCCTACATCAAAACAACCAATTTCAGTTAAATTAACTGGATCGCCCAGTAAACAGGGTCAAACACATCAACTACAAAAGGTTATACCTATCAATCTAGCAACAACAGGGAATCAAGTTGTTACATCTTCACATATTACTATGGCAACAAGTGGCTCTGGTGGTGCCACAGTGCGCTCTATTGCTCCAAAAATGAATATTGCTCCAGCACCAACTATTTCTCAAACCATTCAGGTGAGAATTTTTTTATTATTCTGTTCATAAAGTCCAAGAAATACAGGCAATGTAAAATATCCAGCGATATATAAAGATACTTGGTTTTGTATTGAACCCTGAAACAACCTCTGGACTGATTTAAGTCAGGAGACAGCAGCTTTAAACCACAGATTGGATAGAATTTTAAATTGTGTTAATGAAGCGTAATTTTTGATTTAATTAATTTCTTTTTAGCTGGCACCAAAACCACAAGTAACAGCAAACCTTGGACAAGGCCAACAACAGCGGTTTATTATCCCAGCGATTGCACCTAATATGTCAACAGGAAACAATATACAATTCCCTCATGGTGTAATAAGTGGTGGTGTTGTTTACTTACCCCAGGTAATTAACACATGCAGGCCAATCACATACTTGCATTTCAGTATATCATTCAATATTCCATGCTTACTACAACTATCATGGGGGGAGGGGAGATTCAGAAGATAACACTTACAGAAGACGCTGCTCAAATATGGTACCCCATGGAAGAAAAACATGGTCTATTATAGACCTAAGAAGCAAAAGGAATGTTTTACCTCCGTCTAGACACCCTCTGACCAATTTACAGAGCGGGAATGAATTATTATTGAATGATCAATAGCATGCACTGAGTTGTCAAGGAATTAATCATAATACTGGTTTTCTTGTATTCACAGCAAGCAATAGCATCAGGGGGATACCCCATTGCTGTTCCATTATCAGCTAATGCATTCCCTGATAACCAAACAAATACATCAATGAATGGGTAAGTGGTCGATGCTTTAAGTTATGTATCATAAGGATTCATTCAGCTGATTGATACAGCTGATGGGCAGTGTTGGCCTGTCATTGTAGGTTGGTAATGAGATTCATGAGATTCATTCAGCTGATTGAGACCAAGCAATAGAATACTCTCTGGTTGATAGCACGTGACTGGCAGTGTTTACCTGTCATTGTAGATTGGTAATGAGATGCGTGAGATTTTTTCAGCTGATTGATACCCAGCAATAAATTACTTTGGTTGATAGCACACGACAGGCAGTGTTGGCCTGTCATTGTAGGTTGGTAATGACATTCATGAGATTCATTCAGCTGATTGAGACCCAGCAATAAATTACTTTGGTTGATAGCACACGACAGGCAGTGTTGGCCTGTCATTGTAGGATGATAATGACATTCATGACATTTTTTCAGCTGATTAATTCCAACCATTCTCTAGCTTGTCATATTATAAGGTTGTTTGTAGCCTGGAAGAAATGATAAACATGTTGTTGTTGTTTTAGTACTTCACCAGAATCTTCACCTCCCACCAGACCTCGCAAACCTTGCAACTGCACCAAGTCACAGTGCCTTAAGCTGTGAGTAAAATATTATTATATTAGTTGTTTAGTTTTTTTATCAACCTCAGAACAGCAAATAGCTTATACAGTGTTATTATTTTTAATTTTTAATTTAATCTTTTGTATATGCAGGTACTGTGATTGCTTTGCACAAGGAGAGTTCTGTAGTAACTGTAATTGTATCAACTGCTTCAATAATATGGAACATGAGAAAGAAAGGAGTAAAGCAATTAAGGTAAAGTACAAACAAGTTTAGTTGTCTACAAAAACCTAAACAAAGACTAAACGACACCCATAACATAAGACTAGAATTACATTCTCCATTTCTATCAGTATTTGTTTGTTGGAATAAGGTAACATCGAGGTTGTCATGTAGAATAATCTTGAGATGGATGCACAAGTGATTCTGCTGTGTCCTACCCCATGCTTGATAGTACTCAATCTCATGTTTTGTCATACAGGCTTGTCTGGAACGCAACCCTCATGCATTTCATCCAAAGATTGGAAAAGGAAAAGTGGTAAGTAAAAGTATGATTAAATCAGTTACATGGTTTCCTCATTCAGATCACATATCATTCCCTTTAGTATTATTTCATTGTTGCCTTGAGTAGATACATTTTATGAGTCATAGTTGTAATTCAAAGAATCTCAAGCAAATGCGATATGGTCTACAATGGAAAAAACTAGATATTGTATCTGTTAATTTGTCTCATTTGCTCCAAGAAATATCTCTGATTTTTGTACCTGATGTCCCCCTCCTATTTTTTAGGGAGAATCTGAACGACGACACAACAAAGGATGTCACTGTAAAAGATCAGGCTGCTTGAAAAACTATTGTGAATGTTATGAAGTAAGTACTGACAAAACAAATTACTTTGGATATCCAGCTATATTTGTTTCTCTGTTAGAAAACACTAATACACTCCCCCCACCCCTCTTAGAACTAAATTTAGTTTGTATATTGTTTACAAACCTATACAACATTCCCTTATTAAGACATGCATAATTATGGTAAATATCTGCATCACAGGCCAAGATTTTATGCACCAGTTTATGTAAATGTACTGGGTGCAAGAACTTTGAAGAAAGCCCAGAAAGGAAAACATTGATGCATTTAGCAGATGCTGCAGGTTAGCACAACTACTTAATGTTATATGTATTGATGTGTATCTTAAGAACTGGATAATCTAGAGGGGCTCATGGCAGCTATGTCGGAGGACAAGACAATAGAAAATATCTGGTTATACAAAAACATTGCACTGATTTACAACATGGCTGCCCCTATATAGAAGAATGAACAAATGGATAGATGGTTGAATGAATGAATGAACAAATAGTTGATTGAATGAATGACAAACGAATAGATGGTTGAATGAATAAATGAATAGATGGTTGAATGAATGAATGAACAAGTAGTTGATTGAATGAATGACAAACGAATAGATGGATGACTGAATGTATTCTTGCTGTTTTTCAGAGGTTCGTGTGAATCAACAAAATGCTGCAAAGACAAAGCTTGAGTCCCAAATAGAAGATCTGCCGACTCGGCCATCAATCAAAACAAGCTCTGGAGAAAGGTACTGTATATGATGAGAATACTCTACACACTATCACCAATACTGCTTGTACTGATGGGCTTGTTCTCATATTCTAGGTTACCTTTCTCATTTGTGACCAATGAAGTTGCCCAAGCTACTTGTCAGTGTCTTGTTGCACAAGCTGCAGAAGCAGAAAAAGTAAGTTTTTGTGTGGGATAAACATGTTAGTGGATGGAGAGATGGTTTAATGGGTGGGAGGATGGATGGATGGATGGACAGCAGAAAAAAGGGTGGAAAGATAGATGGATGGACTGGCGAACAGATGGGTGGATGGGAGGGTTAATGGGAGAGTTAATGGGAGGGTGGATTGATTGGTGGATGGATGTATAGATGGATGGATAGATATAGGAATGGATGGATAGATTGATGGGAAAATTAATGGACGGACAGACGGACTAACATCTTGTTAAACATTGTTTTAGATGGGGCTGTCACCTGCAATGACAGAAAAAATGATTCTTGAAGAATTTGGACGTAGTCTTTTACAGATTATACATACAGCAAGTAAAACCAAAGGTAAGAATTGTCTTGACTGAAGAAATTTTACAAAATGCAAAACCCCATGGTGTAAATGTTGCCTTTCAAAGTGTCGCTTACCGATGGGAGCAAATATGCTGTCTTACCACAGTTGAGAGGTTTTTAGGTCCGGGAAAAAATTATTACCTTTTTTCTGAAACCGAATGCGTGGACATAGTCTTAGGAATGGGAGCTTGAAATATTTAGTTAGATAATCGCATTGTTTTTTTTAATGATTCGATCGTTATTGTTCCCACAGCACAGCACTGATGCATCTACAAGCAGAAGTATATACATCCCGTTTAGTTTTACTCACCGATATCAAAAACATCGCTCTACATAACGTTGTAAATTCCCTTGCTAATAACTTAACAGCCTCAAGAGGATTTGGTTGGCCAATCTCGGCTAACCCTGCTTTAGTTTTATAAATACAAGTGTATATATCCAATGATATGAGGGTCTTGAAGGCCTTTGTTTAAATCACTGTTTTAAAGTGATGACCTGTCGGGAGATTGTGATTGCTCAAGTATGTTGTTTTGTCTGCGTGCGTTGTTGTCTTTAAGGCGAAATCCCTCTTGTATCAGAAAGGCATCACTCCATCTTCAACATGACGGCGTGCGTCACAACAGGAACTTGCTTACGTGTAGCTTTAATTTCTAATCCAATCATAATCGATGAGGTCTGGTCCAAGTGAGATGATCGTTAGAGAAAAAAAATGCACGAAAAATGAAACACATGGGATGATCAGTATACGATGACAATGTATGTAGGGGAGGGGTGGGGCAGGGGGTGTCTGTGACCTTCGTGACCCCTTCCTCCCCCTCTAGGAAGTCTTTGAACCAAAACGATYCATCTACACTGTACAATGCTTAAGATAAGTTTTTAACCATCAAAAACCGGAAGTCATGTTACTGTAGGTTAGAATATCTTTCTAAGTCAACATTTATCAGTAAGAATTCCAGCTATTGGTGTCTGTACCCAGTACAGACCGTGATTCCCTGCGCCCTAGAATAGATGTCAAACCATGACGTTATCAAGTCGGTCTTTTATTGTACTGTACAATCATTTTTAGCTGTAATTAATGCTGCTGGGTTTAAGCTTGTTATATAATATCCATGCAGAAGTATATTAACAAACTACTATAACATTTTACATCAACTTGTATGGTTTTGTTTTAATATCTTTTTAGTCATTTAGAGGTCGACTATGCAGCGCATTGTAAGACTGTTTTTGTGGACGAAATAGTCGCCTTCTTGGAAATAAAAAACAGTCCCACAATGCACTGCAATGGCAACTCGACCCAGTTCTTTTCTTTCTTGTGTGCTATTGTTGTAACACGTTTTTCCCGCGGCAAATGGTATTTGACGAGTACTCGAACATATATCTTTCTTTCCGGCGCCTGTGATGTGGAGTTGAAAACGAGATGGTGATGCTGACGCAGCTAAAGAGAGAGAGACAGAGAGATCCCTAGCGAGCCCAGAGAGTTTTACTACACCAAACAAACTCCACCAACACCTCGGCCATCTTATTGTTTCGGCACATCGTCCCCACTGTCCCCACCCTTAGTCTCTAGAGTAACGATGTACATTGTTTTGTGCATTTGATTGCGTGACCCATCAAATTCCTCGCTTTACCAATGTTTAGACCTCTGGGAATAACACTTGCTACTGCAAGTTTAAGTAGATACTTCAAAACCACTGTTTGCTTCACCAAAGTCTCCAACCTTAGGCTCTAGCGTTACGACATCGTTCTGTGCGTTGAATTGCGTGACGATGATCCGGGGCTTCACGATTGATAACGCAGTTGTTGCGGAAGTGGTTCGCTTCTTTCCAGCAAAAATTTCCCTGACTGCTCGATACATGTTCTTCAACTCTTTACGAAACTTTTCGTTATAGGTGAAATAAATGATGGGATTGATTGAAGTGTTCACGTGACCCATAAACCAACCAATAAAAATGATGCTGTGTTTGAGCCCGCAGTACTTGATCATTTCGTCACTGCTGAATAGCACGATGAAATTATTCACGTGAATGGGAAGCCAGCAAACTGCAAAGGCGATGATGATAGTCATTACCATCTTAACTACGGATTTGTTCTCAGCAAATGCTCGCGTCTTGTTGGAATGTAAAGATTTTCCTCGCCAGAGTTCCCTGATGAGCGCAGTGTAGAAGAACGTGACCAGGATCAGAGGAATGGCGTAGAGGAAGACGAAGAGCACAATTGTGTAGTTTTTAGAAGCTCTTTCCTCGTCGAAGTACGGCTCCCATATCTCGTAGCAGACCATTACTCCTCCCTCCTTATAAAACTTCATTGCGTAGATAAGCGGTGCGTTGAAGAGTGCTGCTACCATCCATATCAATACAATAAGTATTTTGGCACGAAACTTGGAGATGAAATTTTGAAAAGGATACACTATGGCGAGAAAGCGATCAGCAGCGAGGGTGGATAAAGTTAATATCGACACGGCAACAGAAATCCCTTGGAGGAACGGTAGTAGCTTACATATCAACAGTCCTAGAATCCCTTGAAAGGTACTTTGTCCCATATTCTTGACAGCGATGCTATAAATAGATATTGTCATGCAAATCAACGCCATCATAACGTCACTGAACGCCATGTTGACAATGAACAGATTTGTAGTTGTCTTGAAATGGGTTTTTCGAAGAACGATGACTATGACAAGGATGTTTCCAATCATAGCCAAACCTAGGGCCAAAGAATAAGCTGTGATTTTCAAAGATATTTCTGTGTTTGTTTCCTCTCGTACGTTCAGATATTCCATGCAAATATTCAGGCGATCTAAGGGTTTGATCGTTGAGGTTATGTTAGACGTCTTGTTAAGATCAGCCATGACCGAGACTTATTCCTGTTGTACCTTGGAAAAAATGAATAAGAATATGATGTTTTTTGTTATTTTCCCTCCATTCCCGACCTATCCAACCATCTGTCCTTTCGTCTGTCCGTCCGTCCGTCCATTCACTCACTCATCCATCCATCCATCCATCCATCCATCCATCCCATCCCATCCATCCATCCCTCCCTCCCTCCCTCCCTCCCTCCCTCCATCCATCCATTCTTCTAAATATTACTGTATTCGTTTCTTAACATCCATCCATCCATCCATCCATCTATCCATTCTTCTAAATATTACTGTATTCTCGATCTTTTCTTATCCTTTTCATTATTCGCATTAAAAGCTGTTTTATATCTTCTCTATTTCTTTATCATGATGAAATCATTGGTCGTGCTGTATTCTACACCCGAGATTTTGAGTTAGAACTAATTTACAAAATGGCTAATAAAAATCTTACCTTCGTAGACACTTATATGCTTTCACTGTTAGTCGTAGCCACTARCTGAATGAACAATATTTTCAAATGCACTTGTTTAAGAAGATTTCTTAATGCATCCGCAGCGTTAAGACGTCAAAAGAAGTCTGAAACAACGAGCAACAAAATCGATTAAATTCAATATAATAAAAATAGATATACTTGTGGAGGCAGGAAGATCTTGTTACGTGCTATGTCAGTCGGCACGCCGCTTCGCACCACAAAACAGTAGCCATTAAGAAACCGAACAACACTTAAAACCCTTAATTTTAATGTTCATTTTGCCTGTGGCCATGAAAGAAAAAAGACGAGAAAAGTTCGGAAACCAAATTCAGCATTAGAAAAAAGGGTTAACTATACACAAAAAACACACAATTTGGTAGGGTAACTATCCAATACACAGAGTAATTTTCATCTAGGCCCTTTCTAGATTGAATTAGCTAAAGAGCCTGTAAGTTGAGACGTGTTTCCTTGCCTAACTGCTCACGAAAACCTCTAAGATAAAATGAAAAATGTTCTCAATGATCTCATCTTATTCTTCTCCTTCTAAAACAATTTGCACTTTAACAAACAAACCTTTCCTCGAAGAAAAAGTAAGAAAAATCTTTATAGAAATGTTTTTCGTCTTGGACCCAGACGTCGATGCAAGGTGTCATATTCTATACTTTCTAGGATCGACAACAGGCCTTTCACCAGTAATAAAAAGCTATAAAGATTGCCACTTTGCCATTAACTGCTTTATAAATAGAGTGCTACTAAGGGATATGAACGATTAGCTTGGAAATCATCAACTGAATTCGACCACATAATCTAGAAGAACTTTGGTTTTGTTTTCACCTTTATATAGAGTTCGTTAAGCCTCTCCCTTGATTCTAAGGTTTTTCTTTCCTCCGCAAAACCTAACATGCTAAATCTGGATTTCATCCCAGAGGTTTTAACCTTAAAAGGCGCATGCGCTTCACGATTTTAAGCCTCATCGTGCAGGGCATTATTGATGATAATTCTTTTTTYCCCCTGCGACAAACAGATTCTTTCGTGTCTAAAAAAAGCTTGTTTCGATAGGTTAAAAATAAAACTAACTGAAAAACTAACAGGGGTAACTAGTGAAGGGGTGGTAAAGTGGGTGGTTTGCGAGACCCGGGTCGGATTCCTGGATTCAGTGTCGTATGTGAGTAGAGTTGTTTGTTGTTCTCTCCTGTGCTTTGAGGGTTGTTTGTTGGTTCTCTCCTGTGCTTTGAAGGTTGTTCTACACGGTTTTCCTCGCTCCGCCAAAAATCAACTACTAAATTTCATTTCGGTGTGATATCGAAAGCTTGCAATCGAAATAAAAAAATGAAATAAATATACATTTTATCATGGTTGTAGAAATATTTCGGCTTACTCTTCTGTTTATAAGCCAGTACGGAATTCGTGATCGATGAACCACGGATGGCGTGCGCCGCGCCTTTCATCAGTGCACGAAACCCGGGTTGGGTTGGACCCGTGTCGTGTAGAGTTGCTTGTTGGTCATGGCACAGAATAGGCGGACACATCCGGGACATTTCTATTGTTTTGGCGCGCGGTTCAAATCATGTTCACTTGACTGTGACTCGTTTACAGAGTAAAATTACAAGAGAATTGGCTGAAAATGGCTCAAGTAGACTCTGAAAACCAGTAATTTTGTATCTTCTTCTTAAGTTTTTTACATGGCCAAAGGGTGCAAATGAAAGTAGAGATATCATCTTGTCATTTGGTAAAATCAAAAAAATTAAACGATAAAATTTTTTTTGAGGATTTTAACAAGAAAAAGAAGGACTTTTTAAACATTTAAGTATGGAAACATAGTGGTCGTACATCTTGATGTTGAAATATTTTGTTTTCCAAGTGAGTTGGTCGATGGCCAAAAGGTGCAAAACAAACTTTAATGTCTAAAGAACATTTTGCACCCATTACACGGACTATCCGTTAAAATTATATTTGAGGTTTTTAAAGTTAGAAAAATGTGTGGTCTTTGCGCCTGGGTTGAGCGGGATTCCCGAAGTACTTGCAGCTGTCCGCGGGACTCTCGGCAGCATCAAAAACATAACCTCTATTGTTTATGGATTAAGTCATTTTTCATTTCTCGCCTAAGCTTCTTATCATTTAGCTCTTTTGTCTCCAAATTGAATGAATAAACACTGTCTTGTGTGTTTTTTTCATCGGACAAACCTCCTAGTTCATTCAAACTTTGACTTTTAGGAGCCACCAAATGAGTAATTGTCATGACTCATATGCTATATATGCTATCGAATCTACTAATAGGTTTTCATATCGCTCATTCAAGAAAGGTGAAGATCGGCAGCTCCATAAAGGCTAACTGCGTATTAAGCGTCTCCTTGACTTTTGATTTATAAAAGAAAAGCTTTGAATCGAAAACAGGAATAAAAATTTACCGGTAACAAGAAGTACGCGAAACTTTCTGTTTATAAGCGATTTACTCAAACAGTTTTTCATTTTCATTAAACGGTTTTTGATAGCAAACAATTTTTTTTTATAAACGACAGGAGAAAACAGAGTTTTCTGTCTTTGGCCGCCAGATTTAACCGATTAGTTAACCACGATTTAGGTTTTAAATCCTTCCTTTAAACTAGTTACTGTATTGAATTTATATGTCGGTTAGCTTGCAAAAGAGCCGTAAGTTTCAATTTGTAAACTAAATTCCTATGCTAGTCAAAAAAGTTTGGTAAAAAGACTAGATATTAGTTTGTTTACATGCGTGGTGATCACTTGTCAAACACGGATTATAAAGACAAAGGAGGCGGTTTTTGTCAGTCTCACACTTCGTTCGAGGGATACGCTTCGCAGCTTCCCGCTCCCCGCTTTGCTCGGATGCATTCGCCAATCAGARCTTGAGGAATTCTATTATCATTCAAATTTATGCCCACCCATTGAAATGTACGTGAGAATCTGAACTGTAAGTGCATGTCCCTAAAACAATAGGCATTCTGTGCCATGTTCTCTCATGTCCTTCGAGGGTTCTCTGTTTTTTCCTCTCTCACTACTACTAATAAATCTTAATTCGATACTGATTTGGTGTTGAAAGTTTAATAAAATAAATTTACATCCTACACTTTTATTCGCATTTCAGGCGTGCACCGTATTCCTGGTCAGCAATGGGCAGCTGATTTTTCTTGGAACAGAGTTTTTTTCTCTCTTTTCCTTGAGGAATATTTTCTGTGGCGATAATCCTGTCTGTCGGTTATATAAAATAATCTTTTGTCACTGGCTACTTCTAAGGCGGGTTTCTATAGAAAGAAACCCACACATATTATTAGGTGGCCGATGTTCAATTTTTGTTTTTAGAATAAATATTCATCATCTCGCTCATCACTTAGCGTCGAGCATAACAGCCTTTTTCCTCTTAACAGTCATCGAATCTTGCGTCATTACAATCTCTTTGCAGATTTTCTTTTCCTTTCGCTTAACCTAAAAGAACTCTATATAAAATCCTCTTACTAGATTGTCTTAAGCAGAGTAATCTTTTCCGCAAAACTGTTGTCTAATGCGCGGATATCATTTTTATCTTGTATTTCAGGCCCCAGGATTTCATTAATACAAACGATTTTTCCCGTTGCTTTTATTGACACAATCTTATATATTCTGATTATCATGGATGTCTAGTGCCGCAAAAACTCAACTAACAAACAAAATAAGCACCAAAAATACACAAAAACGGATACATAAAATATTAATTATATATAGCTAAAGTGCCAAAATTTAGAGATTTGGTGTGTAAGTGTATATAAAATTCTTTAAACTTGTCTCCTGTTTCTCAATTTGTACGTATTACTTGTTCTGGGTCTATTAAAATCAGTGGGTCGGCGGGTCGGTGCATGGATCAGTGACGGCAATGCTTAACATATTCAAAACATACACCTGTTTAAGCACTCTTCATATCTTTATGTCGGGACGAATTCACTTTTTATTTTGACAAAAAATGAATGCGATTTAACTGAATTCGGTTATCAATCCGCCCATCTTGTTCTCGTAGCAACAATAACTTCCCGTAAGTTAGAATTGGTAAAAAAACATTCATGAGAGATTTATCGAAAACATACAATTATCCCCTTTTCCCCTTAATGCATTTCCTACTACAACCCAACACTGTACTTAAGCCTGTAGTGGTCGAATGAAATGTTATGCTTAGCTCATATTGCGCAGGCTCGGAATATCCCGAACGAACGTCGACATCCGCGAAGCTCTACGAGGTTTCGGATAACATTGACGCTTTTCAGACAAGACGTAAAACACGTCTGACAAACGCCGGCCATTCTTTTTTTCTTACTTATTTTTTTATTTTAAAGACATTTATCTATCGACTGACTCTTTCCTCTTCTTAATTCATCGAGAAATATTGAAATCGACGTACCTTCCTGTCGACAGTGGAAATCAAAAACCCCCGACCTTAGTTATTAAGCAATTAGGATTTAAAACCGAAGCCAAAACAAAAGTGATGCCGGACGCAGTTAAAAAAAGATTAAAAAATACGCTCTTGAAAAATTAGATATGCAATTGATCTTATTCGCATCAGATTTCTGTTCAAGAATCGCTCATGGGAAAACAGTCGTCTGTACAGATGTGATCAATCTCGACGCATTCGTTCATTCATTCATTCATCCA